AATGGGAAACAGAAAATATGAACGGAATGAACAAAAACCTTAATATCTGTAGGACAAACAAGTAACACGCCCTTAATGTACCTCCATATTTTTAAAAATCAGGGATTGCTGTCCCACTCAATCAGGCGCAACACTAACAAGACAGATGTCAACCAAACTCATTTTGCACAAGCCTACATCTGTCTGAGAAGACATCTTCCAATCCAGAACATACAAACTGCATGGATAAAGGCCCTGGCTGATGTGAGGCAACAGAGTTAACCTTTGCGTCACTGTGCTGTCTTATCATTCAAAATAAGTTACAGCTGTACGTGCTGTTCTATTTGCCTTTCAGTGAGATTGTCTAGCTGTGAAAACAACTTACCCCAAACAGGAGCTATTCCTTTTGCGTACATTTGAATTATGAATAACAGTTTTATATTCCAGCCCTGGCATACCCTCAGTCTTCTCACATGTTCTGGATGATTACACCTCTACTCAAGTTCAGGTTTAGTGAAGATACACTGGAAATTATCACCAAACTCAATGTATTAACTCACTTTTTTATCACAGCACGTATTTTGGCTCCTAATTGCAGGACAAGCTGTGAGCAGAAGAGGTCAGATCAGGACTGATGTTTCCCTGATGTTTCTGGTAAATAAATATTACGTTACCATTCAGTGCTAATTACTAAAAGGCACTGTGTATTGTAACGTAGGCTAACTGGAGGAAGGAGCTGGAGACAGAAGTTGAAACTTTGCCCATCTGTCTTTGATACAGTAACTGTAGGCTAACTGGAGGAAGGAGCTGGAGAGCGAAGTTGACCTTATCTCTTTTATTTTTTCTCACACACACACACACTCAGTTTATGTTTCGTAGTCCATGGGGACTTTACACTGACTTACATGCATTTCCTGTAGACTAACCCTAACCTTAACCAGAACCACTACTTGCCTAACCCTAACTGTGACCCTAACCTTAACCTAACCCTAACCTCATCCTAACCCTAAACCATGTTGCCACCCTAAAATTCAATTTCTTGCCCATGGGGACCTCAGTTTAGGTCCCCACCGTGAAATGGGTCCTCATGAGTTGGTATGGAGTCAGGAAGAAGTCCCCAGATAGCAGGAAAAACATGTCCACACACACACACCCACACACACACACACACACACACACACACACACACACACAGCCAACCACACCAATAGCCAGAACAGCAAACAATCCCTGCCAACCCCACACTAAATACATAGCGCCCAGAGGGGCATTTCTGGGGGATCCCGCCAAGTGTCGCTCCTCCCCCAATGCTACAATACATTCAGGTCACAGAGGTAACTGCTATTTTCTCTAGAAAATAATTAACCAGCATGTATGAAAAGCTCAACAGGTTGTTTAAAAACACCCTGCCGGTCTGAAGGTATTCTCAGAATCCTCAGACTCTGGATGAAAAATGGTTCCCTGTGCAAAATATAGTAGTGAACAAGACTAATGCTACAAATCATCATGTGGTTTTCATTCACTGTTCATCTGCTCTGCAGTGCTCAACTTGAACTGGGATGAATTCACTGTAACTTAAAGATGTTCTTAACTTCATGTAATATTTCACTTTAAACACAGTTTCATAACAGAAAACATTTAGCTGTATATGCACACTGCACCTAAAGTAAGGAACATTTTCAACACTGTTCATACCATTATTCAGCACTCGACATGCATCGGCTATGCTATGGCGGGTCTTGACTGGGAACTGGGTTTTAGTTACCTTAACTTGTGCATAAATGTACAGTTTCTAAAGCAGTTTTCACACTATACAGTTACGTTCATCTCATCATACATGTATTCTGTAATTGGTTCAACTCCTTACAGGCCACAGAAGCCACAAAATTTCAGTTTTGGGGATACTAAATAAATAAATAACATAAATGTTTCTAATGCTTAATAAATACAGATAAAATAAATACAGAGATGTCTATTGATTTCTGTCAGTAATGCATGTGGGATGATGGTTGATTTGAATGTGCAGGAAGGAATCCACACTACTCAGAGTTTTCCTTTCTGATGGTGCAACTGGGAAGCTGGAGCAAACATTTTTTTATGAATTTCCAAAATGGACAATCATGGCCACTTTAGGCAGCAATTAGCCAGGTGTGCTGATGTGTCAAAGTAAGTCCTGTCCTAACAGGTGCAGTAAAACTGACAAAAAAGTGACAGAGAATTAAAGCAAGGGTGGTCCAATCTACCAGTTAAATTAAGTGGAAAACCTACGTATAACATGGGTGTGTGGGGACTTTATATCTAACTCTATTTCAGTCTTTTATAACCTCTTTCACTGCTGTGCGCTATCTTAGAGCAGTGCTTTTCCACTTTACTAAGCTCCTTTTTGAGTTCCAGCCCATTAATCAATCCACCCACCCAGTCTTTTCTTTAGGTGAATTCCTAATGGCGAAGCTTCTCTTACCAGTCAGATGTGTAACTCTATTAAAAACTCATGACAAGAAACACATGACATCACCTTCTCCACACCCAACCCTGTTTTATATGTTCTCACTTTTGTGTTTCTGTTCTGAGTGCTTTACCTTTTTGTTGAAGAGCCACAAATTGCTTGGTAACAGTACAGGCTCCGGCCCTCCATTCCCGATTTTTACTTGCTCATTATTTCAGTCATAAAGGAACTGAAGCTCATTCTACTGTTCCGTCCAGGCTAATCGACTCTGAATAAGAGCACCAGCTAAATGCCTCAAGTGTAAAATGGAAAACTCTGGCCACCGGCCTAAGAAAAGCTGATGGGTGGCGAGGTGCTGAAACACAGTGTTCACAAGTATTAATGCCAGAAACCAGCCAGACCCTTGGCTCCACAGTGAGCAATCAATGGACCCGCACCCTGACAGCTATTCAATGTTTGGTCCCGAGGTTTGGTTCATTAATTGTAACGTTAACAAACAGAGGTGATCATTACAGTGATCAACTACAGGCAGAAATGAGAGCAGTATGTTTTAAATATAACCATATCTGAATCAACTTGTTCAGTATTTCTGTGTCATCAGGTCATCTTTTTGTCTATAATGTGTCAGATAGTGAAAAATGTTAGAATGTTAGGGAGCGCAAATCCAGATGTTCGGTTTACAGTGAAGTAAATCAGCAAAAATACAACAAGTTTTCATATTTGAGAAGCTGGATGTTTAGTGTTTTTGTTTGACAACTTAAAACAGTGAAAACATTATAAAACTTGTACTTTTCTGTCAACTGACTAAGCAGTTATTGGAGTAATCGTGAAGGTTTTTCCTCATTGGGTATTGGAGCTATAGATACTTCATGCTTTTACTTCACTAAATCTCAGGCTCAGGAGGTAGAGTGTGTCGTTCCCTAATCGATCTGGTGTGATCCCCAGTGTGTAAATGGTCTTATACTTGGATAGCGCTTTTCTATACATTGCAACGCACTCAAAGCGCTTTCACACTACAGTATTTGGCCATGCACCCAGTTGCGCTCCCAAATTCACGCACCGGTGACTTGGGGTTCAGCATCTTGCTCAAGGACACTTCAACGTGTGGACCGCACAAGCCAGGAGACGACCCGCTCTACCTCCTGAGCCACAGCTGACCCAACTAGTCCGCTGAAGGTCTGAGCGTTTGTCTGTGAATGGGAAATAGTGTAAAGCGCTTTGAGTGTGCATCAATGTGTAGAAAAGCATTGTATTCTACTTTTACTTGAGTGGAGGGTCTGAGTACTTCCTCCACCGTGGGTGGTGGGCCATAAAACCACAACGAGCTGAAATTTTCTATAAACCTTCACAGAGCTGTGGGGGTCTGCAGAGCCAGGTGTTAATTCTCTGTGGGTTCATCAGTCGAATTCAAACAAACAAAAGTTGCACACCCTGGCTGCCACTCAGCCCACAGGGTCCCAGGCTTTTTGACACGGAGGAGCACTAAGAACAGCTCTGCCATTAGAGAGGAAAGACGAGGAGCATGTCGCGCTGACTGGAGTGTAGGCCTGTCAGTCAGCGCTAACAGCTGTAATTGGCATTTCAGTCAGGTACAAAGGGTGTGTGCGGTGCCAAAGTACCTCAAGTCAGACAGGCAGCCAGACAGTGTGCCTGAATAACAATATTTCATCAGAGTGAAGTGGGAATAATGGGGATGGGGATGTGGGGGGGTAAACATAGTTCAGGATGGAGCTGCACACTTCTTATGTCTTTTAACAGAAAGGCAACATATATCTTCAAGCTTCTCCTCCTCCATCTGTTCCCTGGTTGTCGCAACTCCTGCCTTCATCTCCACACACACACACACACACACACACACACTGAACCACTCCATGTGTCCTTCCAGATTCATTAGCATATAAATAACTCATACAAACACAAAAGCACACAGTGAGACAATGGTGCCATCACACAGAAACCTTTTCCAGTAGTGTGTAGAGGTGGATGTGGAATATTAGTGGGTAGAAGCAGACCCTGATGATGTCCATTTGTGTTTGTGTGTGTGTGTGTGTTGTTCCATGTCTGATGAAAAGGCTTTTAGGCTAATTACATGAGAAGCGTACGTTGCTACCTGGAGGAGGTTTCATCTTGTGCTTACATTTCTCTCTCTACCTCATACGCACAAATAATGTGTGCAGACACACACTGCACTGGTTCAACAAACTGCCACTTTTTAAATTAGATAATGACTTTAAGAGAATAGCTTGTTTTTATGTGTGTGTGTCTTCTCCCACAACACTGAACTTTATGATTGAGTCAATAATGAACATGAGGTGAGTGCGACAGCCTCTTCTTGGTTTGTGGCTGATACCTTGTTTGCTGACCACACATCTCATTCAGCATCTCTCGCTTTCTTTTCAGTTTTAGTTCAGAGATAAGAAGAGAATTTTAAAGAGAAGAGACACAGTGGTTTTCATGGTTTTTGTTTTTGAAATATAATCTAACAGTGCCCTCTGCCCAGAAAAGCCAGAACTGCAAGATCACATCCCTTTTTTTTTTTTTTTTTTTTTAAAGAAAAATGCTACTTGTTCTTCCAGGTTCGGTTTTATTTTGATGGAAAGCAATCCACACTACACATTTTTCAAAATATTAACAAAATAAATAAAGGCCATGGATATGCTGCAGCACAAAAATAAAATGGCATTAAAAAAGTGTCATGCATAAAATTGCAGCATGACACACGCACACACACACACAAGAGGTATAAAGCAGAATGAGAATAGTAAAACTATGTTATATGACTGACACGTCTGCTATGACAGAGTGAACTTTGGTAACATAATTTTGCTTTTCTCTGTAGATTTATTTCAGCCTGCTCATTTGATCACACTCTAATAAAGTAAAAAAGGTCAGAAAACTAATTCCACAACTAATTTAATAATTGCGAGGATTAAAATGTTGTTGTTTTTAGTATTCCAATTTGAAAATCTCTTGATTTTCCAGTCTCTCATCTCATTGAACAGTGCAAGCACAGTTAGATTCAACATATTTTCCACCCACGGTTTTAGAAAACAGGTCTCGGTGTCCTGGCCAAGTTTAGCCTGTAGAAGTCTGTCTTGTCCAGATCCTACTACAATAATTTAGATCATATTAAGACTGAAAAGGATTATGAATTTAATATAAGCTGTAATTTCTCACAAATCTCTTGTGTCATGGAAATTTAGGCCTATTTCACAGAAGATATTGTGGAACCCACTGAGGTTAATGTGGACCCAGTAAAATGATCAAACTAATATCACCTCCACTCATCTGGAAAGTTTTTAAAATAGGCTCCTGTTGTATCTGACTTTGCTGGAAAGGCTGGTTTTAGTAGCACTTCCTCCCTGTTGTGTCCGCTGGCGTCCTCTTACGGTGAGCCCCGTCGGTTCACCGGCGCCCCCGTCATCACGCACACGGCCCCACCGCCGTCTCTCCACAGCCCAAGTTCACAAAGCCCTGGCCCGGTTTAGTTTGGATTGGCTGTCCCACGGTGTGAGTCTCAACGTCGCCTGTGTGGCTGCGCTTTGGATGGAGAGACCTACTCCGGATCAACTTCAACTTGTACTTTTAGGGCAGGGCGACATCAAGCATTTACACTTTCTGAACGTTTCCTGGGTTTTCTTTCTCTTCTCTGCAGAGTGATTATTGTTGAAGTCGCGATCTAACCAAGATGGACACGGGTTGTCTGCCGGTGGGAGACTAGATAACGGCGTCACTCTCCAAAGCTACATGCACACTTCATCCATTTGTCCACTGGAAACGTTTTATTCAGCACGTGGATGGAGCCGGACTGGGTCGTTTCCATCCCCAGACGTCATATCTTAGAATGTGCATTTTCCCACTGAAGTTTTGGTGAACTTTTCCCACGACTCGCCATGTCGGGAGTGGTCCGCACCCTGAGCCGCTGCCTGCTCCGGGCAGACGCCAGCCGAGACCCGGGCACCAGCAAGGAAGGAAGCCGGGAGAGGGACGCAGCGCAGGAGCGCGAGGCACGGCGCAGGAGCCGGGAGATAGACGCGATGCTCGCCCGGGAGAGAAGAGCCGTGCGCCGGCTGGTGAAGATCCTCCTGCTCGGGGCCGGAGAAAGCGGAAAGTCCACATTCCTCAAGCAGATGCGCATCATTAACGGACAAGAGTTTGATCAGAAAGCTCTGCTGGATTTCCGGGACACGATCTATGACAATATACTGAAGGTATGGAAGTCAACAGGTCGGGGCCTTCAGGCAAACCTTAACTTAGACAGCCTGATTTATTAGCTGTCAACTCATATTAAGCTTTTATTTTAGGCTGATGTTTAGTTTGGTGAGAACTTTCTTTAACTTGTGAAAGCCCGTGATGTGAGAAACTGCATGTTGCAAACAAACTGGCCAAGGCTGAAGATTAGGCATCAGTCCATTAGTCGTTTTGTCTCTGGCGACTTATTAACTCTAACTGAAATGATTAGTCAATTCATTGATTAGGCCACTGACAAGAAGTTAATCAGTAACAAATGTCACAACTGATTAATCAGTTCAGTTAAACTCCCGAAAAAAATCACGATTCCAGCTTCTGGGATGATTTAACAGAATGCATCTGAGTTTTTTAACTGGTTATCAGTCAGTCAGGCAGAAGTCAAAGTGGGGCTTTCCCCCTGTTTTCTGACATGTTATGACAAAATGATTGTCAATTCAATGGCTGATGAATCAATGATGAAAATAATTATCAGCTGCTGTTTTTATTCCACACTTGAGGTTCATGCATAGACACAAGGAGGGCTGTTGATATAGTACATATTGCTCTCCTGGTGTGTGTGTGTGTGTGTGTGTGTGTGTGTGCACTGCCCCTTTGTTTGCTGTCATGGCTGTGCCTCCCTCACCAGCTAACAATACCAGACTATTCCTGAGGGATGAGCACAGCCAAGACCAGGATGATAAGACCTGCACTTCTAAACAAACCCGTCCCCTGGACACCAGCATACAGTGGCTGCACAGCCCACATTCAGACATAGAAAGTAGTAAATGCATGTGAACCATCAAACAGAAACATGATACCACATGCTTGCAATTCTTTGGTCCACCATGTTTATCATCATCATCATCAGTGTTCTCCAGTTAATCCAATAACGATTCAATCTATAAAATGTCAGAAAACACTGAAAACCCTCTGCGTTGTCTTGTCTGATCAACAGTTCACGAACCAAAAGTATTAATGGAATAGAGGGGAAAGCAGCGAACAGTTATCTCATGATTAGTTCCCCTACTGATAAATCTTTCAATTGACTAATCAATACTCGTTTGTACTATAAAATGTCCTACAAGAAAATGGTAAAAGGTGTCCATCACAGTTTCCCAGAGCCCAGACTGACAACTGTCTGAAAAACAATTTAAAACTCAAAAATATTCCGTTGTGTGTCATAGAAAATGAACAAATGCAGCAAATCTTCATATTGATAGGTTGAAACCAGTTAATTGCTAAATGATAAAGATTAATCCATTATCAGAATACTTACTAATACGTTTTCTGTCAATTGACTGCATCATATACATGGCTGCTAACAATTATTTTCATTATTGATTAATCTAGATTATTTTCTTGATTAATCAAAATGCTTTTCTATGTGACCAACTGTCCAAAATAAAAAAATATATAATCACATATAGGGAAAAAAAGAATCCTCACAACTGACAAACTGTCTAAAAGGAGTATCAATTATTTTGTTTCTGATTAGTTTTCATTGCTTGTTTACTTGAAGCTATAAGAAGTTTACACTGAGAGAAATGTTCAAACCAGACTTTATGCTTTCATGGGAGCAGCTCTTTATATCTTGTGTGTATTAAATGACACATTTCCCAAAATTCTGACAGAATTTTGGGAAATGACAAAAAAGCAGCTTGAGCAAAGTTTGGCTGCAGAGCTTGATTCAGTAATAACAGACTGACTACTGAGAAATAAGTTCACCTATCACTTCAGCTCTAATGATTATAATGTGAAACCAATAAAATAAAATGTATTGTTAAGCAGCTATAGGTCTATAGGTGAAGGTCAGCAGTAACAACACAACCCCACTGCACATAGGCAGTAAATTATAATGGCTGTAAAAGAGGCGGATGCTTGTTCCATTAATAATTAGTGTAACGTGAACAGAAAGGTTGAAACTAGATTTGAAGTGTCAGTGAAAATTCCTTTGCATGATCTTATTCGTGACATCGTAAACTGAAGATGAGATGTGTTGGTGTGTTAAGTGAGGTGTTACCTGCCAGGTGTGGAGCCCCCCCCCCGCACCACCAACCATGGCAACTTAATGATAGAGTGAGAGCAGGAAGGAAAGAGGGATCAACCTGAAAGAGAACACATGGGTATGTGGCCCAAACAGACTTATACAAAGGCTTTTAGCTTCTATAGGCTTATAAAAACAAATAACACAGAGGTGGAGCTCAGGTGTGGCTCCGGTCCTTGATTGTCAGTAATTACACCTCCAGTAATCCTGGTATAACTCTTGTCAGTGTGGAATCTTTCATTTTTCACAAGTTAAAGTGAAACTAAAAACACTGATCCTGCCATAAGCCCTTGTACACCAAGTAGAGGTTTGCTGAACAACGTTACTCTGGGTATCCACAGATTTAAAAGCTGGAATAGGACATAAATAACAACAATAAAAAATAATTAGGGCTTATCCTCTGTTTTTTGAATGTGTGATGGCTTATGTCTTCTCTTATCTCTGGTAGCTTTTGTTTATCTGTCAACTATTTGGCTAAACCCCTTCAATTAAGGGGCATATCCAAAGTTGACTCTGAACAGCTTCTGTTGTTGTTGTTGTTCTTCTTCTTTCAGCCGCTTCCCACCATGTGGGGGTTTTCTAGCTCCCCGTGGTCAGTTACTTGGGGCCAGTGATGCATAAGACGAATAACAAGAGTTCTGGGGTTAGGGCAAGGTTAGGCTGAGGTTAAAAAGTACTGGAAATGTGTAAACAGACTGAAATAACCCAACGTTTTGCTATGTGACACAGTCCTGGTGCTTCTGGTTGCTACACCTACTGTACATATCAGACAGACAGGCTCAGACCAAGTCTTACGAACAGAAACTGTGTCCCAGTTCAAAGGTTGCATCTTGTGACAGGAAACAGTCCACATACTGGAAATCAGGCTAGATCTACGGTGTCACAGAGACCAAAACTAATGCTGCACTGAGTGGTTGTTTGCAGTTTGTGAAGTCAAACTTTTCCATGCGCATCACCTCTAAGTTTAAATACCGGCGATAAACTAGGATTACGGTAAATTATACTTGTGTGTACAGTGAGAGTTGTGCGATTTCACTTTAATACACAAGAACCGATGGATAATAGTCCAACAGAACAAAGGTTAACACATTTATATACTACCCATTTTTCTGTAAAGCAACATATCTAGACTTTTAACAAGACAAAAGGACAGTTTATGCATGAATTGCATTATTTCTTAGTACTGTGCAGATTTGATCCTGAAATATCAGTACCTCTAATCCCAGCATTTCCGTTTCTGGGATCAATTGCCATGTTACAAGATCAATATCTAAACTCAGTAGGATCATTTGTGGTAAATGTACATTTTACCTTCAACAGGGGACACAGTAGACAGTAGCTACACCAGCAGGATAGTCTAAATAATATAGCAGTTGAATGATAGGAACTACTACTCCCTCCACCTGTCATAATCATATGTGCACTATGGTTCTGTAAATGCATGAGCTACTGAGAATCAAAGCAGATGTCATATGCTGCTGGGGGGATATAAACATCAACCACGATGGCATGTGAATGGTCCCTGTTTATACTATGTAGTATGGATGTAGTCCCACTGCCAACGGTTCAGTATCTGGGCTTTAGAAACATCCCGTCAGAGATGGCGCCGTTAGTTGTCAATAAAAGTGCCCTTATACCGGTAGCTTTGCCTTATATCTCCCTTTCGCCATCATTCTCTGCTGTCTGGACCCATCTCTTTTCCCTCAGAAAAAGCGATTCCTGCCTGGATTTTACTTGGTATCAGAAAGGAAATAAGTGGTATCGCATATCACTATTACTTTTACATAGTCCTGTTTCATTGGTCTAGTGGCTCAGGTGACCTATTTACATATGACAGAAGACAGCCTGAATGTAAATACCTACAGGTTGACAGTGATCACCTGAACACCTCAGTAAAAAACTGGCCAGCTCACATAACAGAATGGGTACAATACTCTGGTATTATCCTCCGAATGTGGGCAAACGAAGGCAGCGTGTCTTAGCCAGATTTTTAAAATGACAACTTGTTGGCTGGTCAGCTTCTATGTTGTATTTGGTGTAGGAATGCAGAGCCCATGCTACAGTACTGACTGGCACAGAAAATGTGCCGGGTCACTAACAGGAACGCAGACGACCATACAAACATGCAGGCATACAGGAAGAGAGGCAGACAGGAATACAGCCAATTATACAGATTAGTGAATTGATAAGGTTCATGTTGGCTCACAGGCACTAAAACGGTCTGATTACACAGACAGTAGTCATGAGTGAATGCGAGTCAAGGCTCGCCCACACTGACCCTGAGTTTAACTATTAACAAGCTTTTGTTCATTATGATGTGTAGGACATAGTGGTTACGTGTCTGTCTTTGTGTTGTGCACCAGCCTGGGCTTTCCTGAGCGGTACCAGCTTAAACATCCCCAAAAACAAAAGCATCAGTTCTGAAAACACCTCGTGAGTCAGGGATCGGGCTTAAAAAGAAACCGCAACACATCCACAATCCACTATCACTGCACGCATTAGCTGCAGCAGTAACAGTTTCTACCAACTGTAACATCTTTTTTTTTTTTTTTACACCCACACCTCTTGTTGCAGACCCATCTATCTTAGGAGAGGTGACCTCTTTTTGAATTCTTTCCTTGCTTATGGTTTTTTTTTTTAAAGGATTTGCCTTGTCTTTGTACAGATAAAGTCGAGCAAGGACAGAGACTGTTGATGTTGTGGCCGTGTAAAGCCTGTTGAATGTTAGATTAAGCTCTATAAATAAACTTTACTTGACCTGACCATTGCGCAAGAGCCATTAGTCACAGACAGACACGCACCATACACGTACACACATCACTTAACCGGCTGCAACCTCTGAAACACTTCTGCACTTCATTGATTTCGCTTGCTGCCGAGTTCTCTGTTGTGTCGATCCATGAACTAGGCAATCAAGCAAAGAAGCTTTTGGAATATAGTAATACTGCATATTCTTAATTAACTGTAGTTCAGTTCAGAGTCGGCTAAGAAGGAGATTACTGAATAACCAGCAACAGGACAGATTAAAAGTGCGTTAAAACAGCTGAAGTGATGTACAAATAAGAACTGTCACAGTTGTTGAAGTAGAATAGCTGGAAAGACTGGGTCAAGATGGTTCAATAAAACAGAAAGAGAAAACAATGACTATCTGTCTCTGTGTTGGTTAGTTTGATCACTCAGGAGGGGACCTCCCGCACAGACTGTCCACATGGTTCCCTTCAGAAAACCACCAGGAGCCACACATGCATGTCTGAATGTGAGCGCCTGCCTGACACATGTGCTTCACTGTTAAATTTACTCTGTGTTTACCAGTACCGCTAGACTCGGTGTTTACCCCGGGAGCACCACATGCAGTACGAGGTTTTGTTTTTTTTATATTTATGTGCTGAGAAAATGTTTGTCATTGACTTTGGAAATAGCAGCTTTTACACAACTTCACCATGTTCAGGCTTGTGTTGTATGTTTCTGCAGGGCATGCGTGTGCTGGTGGATGCCCGGGACAAGCTTGGTATCAGCTGGCAGTGCTGTGAGAACGAGAAACAGGGCATGCTGGTGATGTCATGGGAAGGACGTGTGGGGGCGTCGGGGGTCGAGCCCAGCGAGTTTCAGCTGTATGTGATGGCACTGAGCGCGCTCTGGGCAGACACCGGCATACAGGAGGCCTACGCGCGACGCTCAGAGTTCCAACTGGTGAGTAGGTTAAAAACACGTTTCCTAACTGGTTTTTTGTCCAGTGTACCAACACGGCCTCATTAGATGGGCTTTCATTCTACTTTATTAACTCTACCTGTCATGTTCCAAATGGGTTCGTATGAATTGATTTTAAACTGGATATTACCTAAATATAGTAGTATTGATTCTTCGTGCTAGACACAGTGATCCTATGTTTGTCAATGTCTGGTCACTCTTTTTTATTTATACAGAAGCTTTGGTCTACTTTGCATTATTTGGCCGTTTTTAGTGATTAATCCAGCTTCTGTGCCAACTAACGTTCACTCTCTGTTGCAACACGCAGCGTCTGAGTGGCGCTGGGAGGCGTGTGCTGTTGTAGCCAGGAATCTGTTGGTTACTGTGAGGACAGATGAACTAAAGATGGGGCCACACACAAAACTGTGGTCTTGCTCGAGTTGATTTTTACTCCTTAACTCAAATATATGAATAGTTTTTTGTTTTTACCAAATCATAATTGATGGAGGACGACTCGTTGAACTAATGAGTAAACAGCTACCACATACATTCCCACATACGTAAATACACAGGGACAGAATGAAATATGATTATCAGAAAGTCTCACAATAAAAGTGACTTTTCCAGACCTACTTTATGATTTGGCAACTTAAAGGAGTTACTCACCCCAAAATTATAATTTTTCTATCATTAAATTCATTCTCATAACCTGGAATGATGGAAGAACATGTTTGCACTGATCCATTATGTTCTCTGCCAGCTTTCTACCCTGTTAATCATCCTGTGAACCCTCAGGCTGGGAATCATTTTGCTAAGGTATCTAAATAGTATTCTTACCAGAATACTATTGCAATATACTTTGATAAAAAAAACATTCTGAACCACTGACCATCTGCAGTAAAATCCAGCCCCCAGTTCATTCTTTGTATTGAGAGTCATGTTTAGTCCTAGATGACTCACTGGGTGACCTTTTTATTTCATAGTTTATGTGTCACAGTAGCAATGTTTCCAGTGAGTCACCTATGACAGAGCAGGACAACACTTATTTATCTGTGTGAAAATGTAATATTATCCTTTATACATGAATGCAGTGGTTAAAAGTACTACCCAACCCTTTTTCCTTAAAGCACATTCATAACATCCTGGAACTGAAAACAGCCCCGGGGTATGGGTTACCCATCATTCCTTACCATCACTTCTGTCTCACTTAGTGAGAAATAATACCAAAGGTGAACTTATTAAATCATCTTGCACTGTCTGCTTTCAGTTCATTAGTGCCCATGGTCACAAACCGTAAATGTTTTTGCCTTCAGTACCATAAATATTTCCACATCACTTCAGTGACGTCTACAGCAGCGGATATCTTCAAGGTAACTGATTTACCACAGCCAGTTTCTTCAGAGTTAATAATCCAACATGCTCTAAACATCAGAGGAACTGGTTAATATCAGAAATGTTTTTACCTGTCAACTACAAAATAATAAGTCACAGTGATGGAATGCTCATGGAAATATTGATTGTTTTTCTGTGTAAGTTACCTGTCTCCTTTTATTGTTTGGAGACTTTCCAAAGATATCATTATTTTTCTCTTGACTGGAAATGGAGCCAGTGAAGTGGAGCCCTGTGGAGTAATATCTGCCACGCCACACTGCACCAGACACAATCTGAAACAACTTGTAGATCACGATGTAATTCTTTTATTTAATCTTCTTGATACAGTGGGTACAGAAAGTATTCAGACCCCCTTAAATTTTTCACTCTTTGTTATATTGCAGCCATATGCTAAAATCATTTAAGTTCATTTTTTTCCTCATTAATGTACACACAGCACCCCATATTGACAGAAAAACACA